TAGTTGGGAACAAGCAACAACATCAAAAACAACAAAAAATGTTAAATGAAGGTGCGAATTGTAAAGACTTAGAGAACTTTATGCCAGAAACTTATTGAGAAATAAAATTTGCCAAAATTCACAGCCCACACTGTTATTGCAACAGGTATTGTTTTTCCATTAAAACATACTTTGTCTTTTTTTCTTTACACTCAATGCAAGTCCTACGCAATTCTTTTCAGTTTTGTGTCAGAAGTTTTAAAATGACAGCAAAACGTTTATCTGTCCTTTGGATGTAATATCCATCCATCCATTATCTTTACCCGCTTATTCCATTTTGGGTCACAGGGGTCGCTGGTGCCCATGTCCAGCACAGCAATCATTGTGCGAGGGGCGGGGTACACCCTGGACGGGTCGCAAGTCCATCACAGGGCCACATAGAGACAAACGAGACAAACAACCATTCACTCTCTCACTCACACCTAGGGACAATTTAGAGTTACCAATCAGCCTAACATGCATGTTTTTGGTCTGTGGGAGGAAACCGGAGCACCCGGAGAAAACCCACGCATGCACGGAGAGAACATGCAAACTCCACCCAGAAAGGCCCCTGGACCGGGGTTTGAACCAAGGACCTGCTCGCTGAGAGGCAGCAGCTCTACCAGTTGCGCCACCGTGCTGCCCTGGATGTAATAGAAAATACAAATTTATAATTGACCAAAAAATAGTAATTAAGACGTTAATCTGTGGTTTCTTATTTACTGTATGTGTTTATACTTTTTATATCATAAAAACAAATATCACTCTGATGATTACAAAAATGCCCTGTGGTGCTCGAGACTGGAAAATGGTATCATTAGGAGTTTCCATTTTTTCTTACTCTTCAGTCTGAGTCAGACATTTTGCGGCACTTAACATCTTGATGACAATCTAAAAGCACATTTTATGGACACTTGATTATCATCAATCTCATCTCTGTATTTTCACACAGTCCGATTGATCAAATTTAAGACTGGGTGGTTTTGGTAATCCCATTACAGCTTTTTAAGAAATCATCAACTTGAAGCCATTTACAATAAAGAATGAGCATCAATCCGTTAAGTAGGTACTTTAAAAGTAGAGGAGCTAGTGGTTATCTAATTATTGGTGGTAACAATGAACAAGCAGCTAATCTGACAAACTAAATGACTGACTGCAGCCTCCAGAGTTTCCTACGTTTTTTTTATTTTTTATTTTTTTTATTCAGCACCCAATCACTTCTTCATAAAACTTGCCAAGTCTTTTTCTACCAAACATCCCATTTTGGTATTGCTTCATGTTATGACCCACTGCCTCTTGTTCCAAGAGTAACCTGGCCAGTATCCATCCATCCATTATCTTCCACTTATTCCGAAGTTGGGTCACTGGTGCAGCAGCTTGAGCAGAGAGGCCCAGACATCTCTTTCCACAGTCACCTCTTCCAGCTCTTCTGGGTGGACCCCAAGGTGTTCCCAGGCCAACCGAGAGACATATGCCCCTTTTCTATAGCTCCTCTTCAGCATGACTCGACTCAGTTCTGTACGCTTCCAAGACTTTTTCATTATCATTTTTTTCGTGGAACTGGCACCTTTTTTGATCCCTTCTTCTCAGTGGTACCAAGCAAGCTGAACCGGCACCAAAACATGACGTCAGAACACAGTCGGTCACTGATTGGTCGGGGGGGGGGGGGGGGGGGGGGGGGGGGGGGGGGGGTGTCACTAGAGGGGTTTGAGTTTTTCAAAACCTTCAATCCACCATTTACAATTACCGATGTTCGAACTCGAGGAGCGATTGGACCTATTTTTAAGATTTTAAAAACAATAATGACAAAACCGTGGTCTAATGCTGAAGTGCAGGTGTTTTTTGTGCTTGGTGGCCGGCGACAAAATTCAGAGCAAGCTAGATTACATCTAGACTTCAGCCGGTCCCTGACTCTTCTTGGTCCTCTCCACCGGCGCCTCGGAGCCCCCTCGGGCCGAGCAGGATGTCATCTCCCAGGCTCTGAGCTCCGCAGGTCATTGCGAAAGATTCTCCGTGGTGCCAACTCGGGGCTCGGGCTCCGGATCTCGGCCTTGTGTGCCCTGCAGGCTCCGAGCTCCACTGGTCACCTCAGAGGATCATACGAGCTGCTGAAGGCCATTGCTCGGACCCCGGCCTCGCCTGCTCATGAAGGCCGAACCCCGATCCTGGCAGACGGGTGGACCAGGACATGGTTGGGATGGAGGGTGGAAATGATTTTTAGAAACACTTTATGTATAAAATAATAAAAAAAAAATTTAATCAGTGCAGATTAAAAAAATAAATAAATAAATGGTGCCGGCTTTATCATGAAATCCTGTTTTCACTTTAATGACTATTAAATAATCTGTTAAAGTTATCTCAGCTGAAAAATCATAAAAAGGGACAAAATTATTGATCTCTTAGGAAAATTTCCCTCAGATATGTTTAAAGAAGAGCTACAGCCCAGGGAGCATTCTTACCAGATGCCCAAACCACCTCAGCTGGCTCCTTTTGATGGAGGAGCAGTGGTTCTACTCTGAGTCTCTCCTGAATAACTGAACTTCTCACCTTATCTCTAAGGGAGAGTCCAGCTACCCTGCAGAGGAAACTCATTTCAATTGCGTGTATCCACGATCTCATTCTTTCGGTCACTACCCAGTTTGTGGCCATAGGTGAGGGCAGGAACATAGACCGACTGGTAAACAGAGAGCTTTGTCTTACAGCTCAGCTCCCTCTTCACCACAACGGACCGGCACAGAGTCTGCAATTCTCTTCACCAAAACGGACTGGCACAGAGTCTGCAATACTGCAGACACTACACCAATCAGTCAGTCAATCTCATGCTCCATTTTTCTCCCACTTGTGACCAAAACCCATAGATACTTGAACTCCTCCACTTGAGGCAGAACCTCACTCTTGACCTGGTGAGAGCAATCCACCCTTTTCTGACTGAGGACAAGTGCCTGGCACTTACCTGGCCAATAATTAAGCTTAAACAAGCAGCAGTCATAGTATTTTCTGCTCCTATTAACTCGTATTACACAACACACTTGTTATTTTTATATTGATACCAGTCTCACTGAAATCACACTAGATATTAGTAATCGTGTCACCATTATGAGTATCTCCAAATAAAGCAGTGAAAGGGAAAAGACAAGTGACTTATGTGCTAATGACAGAATACTTCAGCTGTGAAATTTCTGAAGCCACTTATGTATTTTATATCTGAATATAACTTGATATGGATTAAATTAAATGGTCTCACACACTAGGTGTGTTTCATCCAAGCTGCTCTGTCTGGGTTAGCTGCAAACTCTCACCATCTATCCATCCTGTTACAAAACTGTACATATAACCTGATATATTTGTCTGGAGCTAATTGTATTTTTAGCTAACAGGTTATGTAACCTGTCATGTATTCTGTACTCAGAGGAACAATAAAGATAATCTGAAGGGAACAAGATGATGGAGGTCTCTGACGCTTGGACTAAAAATCATGTGATCCTTTGGGGCTTCTTACATTTTAAGGAGAAAATGAAATGACATTTATAAAATCAATTAGGTTTTTTTCTAAGCTGGTACACGATGAGCTCGTGTTAGTGTTTCGTTGGTATACAGTGACATAACGAACTGTGCAAATGTTCAAAAGGCAAAATATTAAATTTAGATTTACACGCTAACCATTTCTGTAAACTCCCAATGAGTTAGAGCTAAAAAAGAAGTCTTCTTTAATATTTGCCCCTTCTTTAGAAAAAGTGTCTGAATATTTCTCTGTAAGTTTTCAAAGTTTATGTATAATAAATGTACTCAGTATGGCAATGTCTCTTTATAGAGATTATGTAATTACACAGTTTAGATTCCACAGATTGTAGTAAATACAATCTGAAATGGTTTCTCTCTCTGAAGTCATGTGACATGCATGTGACAACATTAAAGTAGAAAAGGGAAAGCGTTATTACTCTCACATTAGTACTGGCTAATTTTCAGAATGTTGACTGCCAAAATAACTCCAAACATTGGCAGTGTTTACATGGTTTATCCTGAGTTTATCACTTGGATGTTGCCCTGAAAACATTTGTGTAGCCACAGCAGCACTGAAGTCATTGAGCTGATGTTTTAACAAGGTGACGTTTTTTAAGTGGTTCCTATCACACAATGGATTATTTTTGTGGGTACATAAAATCATATACATATACATACATGATTTAATGTAATGAATGACTTTGTGTTTATTCAAAGATTGTGGAACAATTGTTCCATTGTTCAATGGAAACAGATATTCCTTACAAGAAGAAACATTTGATCTCAAGATCGTCGAGTTTAATCGAAATGATTAGGTGGGAATTGTGACATCTCTCTGGTTGATCATCCTCAGGCACTTTAGAGCCCCATCTGTCCGCCCTGCTGTGGATGGGCATGCTGGTGTCTCTGGCTATTGTCATAGTGACGCCTCAGCCACATGGTATCAGGGCACTGATTGCCTCCACCATCTTGCGCCTGATCTTCTCCGTGGGCTTAGAACCCACGTTATTCCTACTTGGAGCTTTTAATGTAAGTGTCCGCTCATGTGTCAGTGTCAGATTTAGACATGTTGTGTAATGTTTCTCTAAGTGCCACTGGCTTCCCATTGTTCCTTAGTTATGTAACAAGGTGATCTTCCTGATGAGCTTTGTTGGGAACAGAGGAACCTTCACACGTGGATATAAAGCCATGATCCTGGATGTAGAGTTTCTTTACCACCTGCTCTACCTGATTATCTGCACGTTAGGGGTCTTTGTCCACGTCTTCTTTTACAGCCTGCTAGTATGTGAGCACACACACAAAACATAAATTATACTCACTGTTTTCATGTTGTATATTTTTTACATTTTATTGTGCACGTAACAGCAATACAGCACACACAGGCCTTAATACTTTTTTTAAATTCCAGCTCTTCGATTTGGTTTACCGAGAAGAGACGTTGCTGAATGTAATAAAAAGTGTCACTCGCAACGGACGTTCCATTGTTCTGACTGCTGTGTTGGCCCTTATCCTCGTCTACCTCTTCTCCATTGTGGGGTATATCTTCTTCAAAGATGACTTCATTTTGGCTGTTGACAGGATACCCAACAAAACTCTAGGTATGTTGAAATGTAAGGTTTGTTTTTTTTTTGGTTCACTTCCAGGATCAGGCATGTGTTGCTTGTCCTCCATGACTCAAACACTTAGAAGACATAGTTTTGTTTATCACCAAAATGCTTTCAATCAACCTTTATTGAGCTTTAGATGTCCGAAAACATTGTTGTACATAATAAATGTGTTGTCTAATATTTCAACTTGCTTTAACTTAATAACTATTCTGCTGCTTATTTTTAAATAATAAAGTTGCAAATATCATTAAGTATTGTTGAAGATTTAATCTTAAGTAACCTAGGAGGTTGAATATGAACTTTGTGCAGCTGTATGTATCTGTTGCATCTTGTGTTCCCAATGAACAGAACATGGAGCCAGCATGATAGGAGAGTTTTTTTCTGGTGGAGTTTGTCAGAAGGAAAATGGAGAAAATTGCACAGCAGAAGCTGTAAAAGATGGTGAGTTGACAGAAATGAAAGATAAAAATATGTATTCTGATATCTAGGTCATCCAGGACATGGCATATAAAAATAGTTAAAATGTTTAAAAGTATATAAAAACAGATGGACATCTATTTTGTAGTTGAAGGCGTTTTGTTTCCCACCCAAGGAACTTTCCTCATCAGAAGCCTCTCCAGTTTTGAATTGAGTTTTCCATTTGATGTAGCTTGCCTCTTGACTCCTCCTAGGAGCCGTCCTCATGGGAACATTTTTTGTCAGTATGCAACAGTATATTGTTTCAGCCTTCCATCCTCACAAAAACTGTGATTTAGGAGCCTCAGGTTGCATTCACACCAGCCCTGTTTAGTCTGCTTTAATCAAACTCTAGCTCGTTTTCCTAGAAAGTCCGGTTCGTTTAGGGAGGTGTGAACGCGCCATCGAACTCTGTCACGGAACAAAAAGGCGAACTCTGGCCCAGGCTAAAACCTAGGTCTCGGCCCGGTAGAAGCGAACTCCAGCGTGGTTCGAGTGCAGTGTGAATGTAAACAGACCGGCCCCGCTCCACAGGACAAACAAACACGCATTTCTCTTACCTTATATGGAGCCGTCAGCTGCCTTGTGTGGAAAAACAATATTCTCCATGGTCTTCTGTCTCATCTTCTGCTCATGCTAAGTCCATTTGTGAAAAATGACCAAATATAACTCCTAAAACTGCTAAAACTTGATGCCACTTCGTTTTTATTTTTATTTACAGAAGAAGACGTGTCTTCAGAGGTTTTTGTGTCGTTTCTTTCAGTAGTTCTTGGTGCAGCGCCCCCACAGGCGAGCGGGGGAATAGGTTGGTTCAACAGGTTGGCTCGACTGCACAGTGCAGTGTGAATGCAAACGCACCAGCTCAAATGTAAACAAAATATCATGAATATTGGTCCCGAACTGAACAGAGTCTACCGGACTATCTGGTGTGAAAACGACCTTAAAGCTGTAATTTATGAAAACCGGTTCCACGGGTGGAAAAATAGCAGAACACCACATTTGCAATTGTGTGTTTATAGCCAAAACGCAATCTGTCCTCCATTCCTTCCGTTCATCCTTCTTCCATTCCAATATCAGGTCACATGGGCAGCAGCTTGAGCAGGGAGGTAATGACATCTCTATCCACAGCTTCCTCCTCCAGCTCTTCTGGAAGGACTCAAAAGCAGTGATGTAGTCTACGTGATATTTGGGTATATGGAGTATACCCACTAGAAAAGCTTAATTCATTATACCCACTTAAAAGTAACAAACGATACATATCATTAGACACGTGTCATTGATACGTTAATCGTCATTTAAACGCTTCCATAACAATCTTATCAGTATGCAGTGCTTTGCTTTGATACTGTTTTATAAATTCTATAACATGTTTTTAATACAAAGATAACTGTTGTACAAAATTTGTTGTTCATTTATTCAAATATTGGCATCAGAGAAATTGGGAAATGTTCAATATGCTTAAAAATCAAAATAAATTCAGTCAGCGATTTATTTGTCATACACACTACACGTGATACATGAGGTGGGACAAAACTATGTACACAGGGTCCCAGTTACATCCAACAAAAACACAAATTGTAAAGAAAAACATTAGTAAGATCCAAGTCATATACTAAATTCACTAAACTAAGAATGCACAAGACTAAGAACACACTAAGCACCAACAGCACAAAAGTAATGCGCCAAAACAACAGCAGCACAAACATGAGTTCGTGCAAGCAGATGAGGACCAATGAACACAGCAACATGAAGTGATCAGCAGCATGAGATCAGCATGATTACATTGTACTAACCAGTGTACTTTGGTTTCTAAGCACAGTATACCCACTACAAAAATGTAGACTAAACCACTGCAAAAGTGTTCCCATGCCCAGAACACCCCCTTATGGAGGCATCCAAATGGCTTCCTTACCCAAACCACCTCAACTGGCTCCTCTTTATGTGGAAGAGCAGCGGTTCTTTTTAAAGTCTCTTCTGGATAGCTGAACTTCTCTCCCTGTCTCCAGGAAAGAGACCAGCTACCCTACTGTGAAAACTTATTTTGATTGCTTGTATCCACAGTAGAGCTGTCATTTCTAACCCAAACCTGGAGCCCGGCCCCGCCCGACTCGTATTAGAGCTGGGCCGGTCCATAAGAATGTGCTTAATGTGCGGGCCGGGTCAATGTCTGGCTTTTGATTGCGTCAGCGGACGCGCGCGGCTGACAATCCAATTATATGGCAACATGGCTTGCCATACAATGACCAGCAGCACGCGGCAATTTGACCGCACACTGACCGGCCTTGAAAGAGGTAAAAAGTTAAGTTAAGCTTCAGATGGACTACTGCCAGCAATCCGTCAGCCCAAATGAATATTCATTCAGCAGCTCTGTGATTCAGATGCTGCACGCAGTGGACGCGTGTGGCTGATGACCCAAACAGGTGAGATCACAAAATATCCGACATGTTGGAGCAGGGTCCAGTGCAGGCAGTAGCAGGAGAAGCATTTAATGCGCTTTGACAGCCATGAAAGGGCAAACACCCCCTCAGCTCCTATCTTCTGCCCCCTTTACTCAGCTGTGCGTGTCTGCCGACCGTTAATAACTATATAAGCAGTCAAAGCTTAATTAAAAAGGTCGGGTTCAGGTTTGGAACTGTAATTACCGTTAATTTGTCGGATCGAGTGGGGTTCAGAAATGAGGCTACAGGCTGGGGCCAGGTCGGGTCAGATTTTTTGGACCCAAATGCAACTCTAATCCACAGTCTTGTCCGTTTTGTTGCTACCCATTATTTGTGACCAAAGGTTAGGTGTGGGAATATAGATCAAGCAGTAAAAAGTGAGTTTTGCCTTGTAGCCAAGCTCCCTCTTCACCACAATGGACTGGCACATAGTCTGCAATACTGTAGAGGGATAATAGAAGTGTGACTGTCATTCTCATGTTCCATTCTTTCCTTACAAATTAACAAAACCTGAGATAACTGAACTTCTTCACTTGAGGCAGAACCTGCATTCCAAACTCGGAAAGGGCAATCCACCCTTATTAGACTTAGGACCATAGCCTCAAATTTGGAGTTCTGATACCCATCCCAGCTGCTTCACACTCTGCTGAGAACTGCTCCAGTAAGAGCTGGAGATCACAGCACAACAATGCCAATAGGACCACATTGTCCACAAATAGCTAAGACGTAATCCTGAGGCCTTCGAAACAGACGACCTTCACCCCCAATCCCATACTCACGGAGTGCCCCCACAGTGTACCTCTGGGAATACAGTTGAATTCCTTCTCCAAGTCCACAAAACACATGTAGACTGGTTGGGCAAAGGGTAAAGAGGTGTTCCAGTGTCCCACGACTGGGATGAAACACTCTTTATTCATCCTGAATCTAAGGTTCAGCCATCAACCAGACTTATATTTTTTTATTAGCAGCATTCCTTAATAGACCTTATCAGAAAGACGGAGGATTGTGATTGCCATATAATTGAAGCACACCCTCTGGTCCACGTTCTTGAAAAGGAAAGCCACTGTCCCATTCTGCCATTCCAGTGGCACTGCCCCTGATGCCCATGCAAGTTATATAGGCGAGCCTTGAGGAACTCGGGGCGAATCTCATCCGACTCTAAAACCCCACCACCATGCAGCTTTTTAACTACCTCAATGGCCTTAGCCCAAGTTATGGACAGACCAGTCCCCAAGTCCTCCAACCCATCTTCCACCATGGAAGACATGCTGGTGGGATTAAGAAGGTCCAGGAAGTAATCCTTCCACCACTCGACAACATCCTTGGTTGAAGTCAACAGCATCCCATCTCTACTATACACAAGTTATTAAAGTGCTGTGTCCCACACCTCAGTTTCCTGAAGGTTTTGCAGAATCTTCATGGAGCCAGTCAAGAGTCTCAGTTCAATACTTCACCAAACTCCTCCTCCATCCAAGTTTTTTTCTCAGCAACAACCAGGATTGCAGCCCACTTGGCTTGCTGATACCCTTAACTGCCTTTGGAGTACAAGGCCCGACCGATAGAACTTCTTTAGCTGAATGGCCTCCCTCGTTTGTGGTGTCCACCACCGAGTTCAAAGATGGCCACCGTGAGAGACACCAACAAACTTACGGTTGCAACAAAACACAACTTTTTATAAATTATGATGTCATAGCACCACATGTTAATCTAAGGTGTGAGGGAGAGGTTGTCTTTTGTTTACGTTTTGCACTCAGGGTGCTTTATATGCCCCATTTCCTTTTTTTAGTCGTAGTTAAAATAATAAATGGCATAGTTACTAGAGCATTTTGGGTAATTTTCATTGTTTGTGTGTGGATAAAGCTACCGTAATTCTAGAAATGGTGCTGTTTACAAACGATAGTTTTGGAAAAACTGTGTTTTATGAACAAGTCGTCTCACCACCTACCTTCTCTGTCCAAAATATGAGCATTACTTTCCTCTAAAGATTGCTCATACTTTTGTGATGTAATTAAACCACTGAGTCCTCACCTGAAGAACAGGTTCTGAAGTGTTGTGCAGCCCAACATTTGTGTAGCCCAATAACAATTTGTAAGCTTGAAACTTTTCACATTTTAATTTTGAGGGGATAAAGCTTCATAAACAAGAAGTGAAATGTCTTCAAGAAACAAACAGAAATATATTGACCTTTGATTCAATATGTTGAGAGTTATAGTGTGTATGTTGCACATGATAGAAAGATGGTGTTGGGGTTAAAGAGCTGTCTTAACGTTAAATTCACAGGTTTGTGCATGCATAAGATTCCTGAGCGTTTCTGTATGCCTGTGTGCTTATGGCTTGTCTGTGTATGTTTCTGCTTGTATGTGAAGGACTTTATGATTTGGCACTTTTATGAATTTCCAGCTCTGCACAGCTGGGTGATCAGTTGAAATGGGTACAGTCTCTCAGGCCGCTAGGTGAAACACTGGGGGTGTGGACTCTGCGTGAAGGGGTTAGGGTTCAAAGGTCAAGGATTAAAGATCAGGTACAGGCAGATTGATGGGTCCACTCAGTGATGGCGCAGAAAGTCTTTTAACTTCAAACAGTGAATACTTACAAATGACTGATCTAGATGAGAAAGCCTCTATTCAATCAGGAACACATGCAGCACCTTAAAACCGATCAGTCAAGCATGTCCAATTCTCAAGCTGCTTGACCCCTGACCTTGTCTAATCCTCCAAATCGATCATTACTGGCTAATTGTGGTGTAGTTTGTGTGGTTAGTGAGAAAATTCCCACTCCTGTTGAGTTCTCACAGAACCTTCAACAGTTTGTTCAACAAATCAGTGTTAGGAGTATAAAATTAATGTCTAAATGTTACCATTTTGTCATATATTGGATTTTCAGCTGTTGTCATGAAAAGCTCCCTTTTTCATGTCTTTGTGTTTAAATGTGCTGCTGAAGGATTATAGTGATGCAGATGACCAAAGAAAGCCTTACTAAAATCTTTTCTCATTTGCTGCATCCCATAGCCCCCCTTGTTGTCCAACCATCAGTGGTGATTGAGGACAAAGAGCGAACGTGTGATTCCTTACTCATGTGTATTGTCACGGTACTGAGTCATGGCCTCAGGAGTGGAGGAGGTGTTGGGGACGTCCTGCGGAAGCCATCCAAAGAGGTACAGAAACACAACACCAACAGAAGAAATCTCACGCAAATTTCTTAAAGTTTGGAAGGAAAGAACAGATTTAATTGAGGGGGAAAGCTTTTCAGAGTCTTTTTTTTAATTCAGACCTGATGAGCAGAACACAAGACATACAGTATATTTCTTGCATATTTACTCCCCCACACTCTTGGAATAAATTAGATTTAGTTGAATTAAAATAAACGAAGAAAACCGATACTGTAGAACTCAAAAGTGCACTTTATGTTTTAATAAGTAAGTAAGTAAGTAATCTTTATTTGTATAGCACCTTTCACAGACAATGACATCACAAAGTGCTTCACAAAGTAAAAGTAAACAAAATTTAAATAAAAGCCAGTCTGAATAAATAAGTCTTAAGATCATTTTTGAAAGAGTCAATGGAATCTGAGCAGCGCAGTGACAGAGGGAGAGCGTTCCAAAGCCTCGGGGCCACCACTTGGAATGCTCTGTCTCCACGTGTTTTAAAATAAGTTCTTGGTACCATCAGCAACATTTGATTTGAAGATCTCGAAGTCCTGATGGGACATAGAGGCTTCAAAAGGTCCAGTAAATAAATATAAAACAAGACAAGTATTTCATTGTGTTCAACTTCAAAAATCACATAAATCAGATTTAATTAGACAACGAGACTTTTGGACAGTTTTATATCCTGTAAAAAATGTCCTGTGAGAAATAGAGGCTGCAGTTTGAAGAAGGTCTGACTGAGATGTGCTTTGTTAAAAGGTCAGGGCATCTGCATCGAAGAATTTCATAACCTCAAGCATTCCACAAATAACTAAATTAGCTCATGCAGGATAAAGACGAGCATGTGCTCCCTCATAGAACAGTCTAGATGTGCAGCTTGACTCAAAAGAATGAGGGAATGATTCAGACGCAGTTTACATGACTCTGTTTTTAAGTGAAACCATAGCACTTCTTTTGTGTTTCGGCCATTTGTATACACAACAACAGCCGTTGTTTTCTCTTGCATCAAAATTTTTTGAACGCAGGTCTCTAAGTGGAAGATTTTGGAAATGCCTGGCATGGTTTCAAGGGAAACCACAACTTCTGTGAAATCACACATGCCCACTACAATCATCTGCATTCAATAGTTTTTCTGTTCTTGCGTGAGTAGATGAACAAAATGAACATATGCAGATAGCAGAGTGCTGTTTGTGCTGTTCACATTTTTTTCAATGTGGAGCAACTCAACTTGATTAAAATAAATGTTCCTGTATTCACCATTTTCAATGCTACTGTTTTTATGTTGAAGACTGAGGTGTCTGTACATTTGTAAAGTACAAAAACAACTGCACTAGCTAGTGACCTGGAAAGGAAATTGCAACAGCTTCAATGAGCATAGCATAAATGTGTAAATGTGACTTTTCAACAATCACCATTCCTTTAGATTAAGATCCATGCAAATTGCTTGTGAGTCATGCCGAATCCTGTTCGACACAGGAATGATTTGCATGCAACCAGACAGTTGCCTGTTCACACTGAGGGGCAACATTGATCAGTCATGCATGCTGTGTTAATCCCAGCAAAAGAAAATAATAGATGTAAATTGTCTTCAATCTTTCATACTAGATTTCCAGTTATTTTAAACTCATAAATGTTTGCTTTCTTTCAGTCTATGTGTAATGAATGAATATAATATACAAGTTTCACTTTTTGAATGGATTTACTGAAATAAATCAACTTTTTCATGATATTCTAATTTAATGTCCAGCATAGATAGATAAATGGATGGATGGATGGATGGATGGATGGATGGATAATATGCTAAGTAAATGTCTGTAAAGAGTTCTATCCAATGTTCCTAAATTTCCCATTTTGTCTGTGTACGCATACCGTCAGTGTGCTGTACGATGAGCTGGCAGCTTTATCTGTCATTACCGTTGTAATGATTTTTATGGTTTTGTTTCCAACAATTTGGCACGTAAGAACAGAACTGCACTGATATGAAAATATTTAATTTCTTCATGATGTCATCTGGTGTATTTATTATTGTATGGCTGTGAGTTAGTGATCCAAGTCAATGTGATTATTAGGTTGTGGCCATGTGTTAAGACATGTGAGGTTACTCACAGTAGACATACTGTTTTTTTAATGGAGCATTTCAGCTTAGCTTTTTTGCAAATTACTGTGCCTGAATGCAAAAATATTGTTGAATCCCTTTTTATCCAGAAACTGAACTGAACTGAAGTGGAACTAAATGAAGTATAACAAAAGTCAGCTTCAACAACTCAACATATAATTTAGTTCTATGGTTGTATACAAGAATCATGGAAGGCATCGTGATGATTACTTTTTAGTGCCCCCTGTCATAAAATACTGTACATGCTATCATGTATCAAACACATGGTTTTTATCAAGCACAAAAATAGCTAATTCATTAAAGTATTTTTTAGAAAAATTATGTTAAATTTTGGTGTACCTCCTCCTTCCATGGAGCTCATTAGAAATGTGTCGAATGGTGTGATCATAAAGTGACGGGTTTCTTTTTTTTTTTTTTTACCTTGGAGTTCAGCTCACTTGGCTTTGGATGGTTTCCTTTGCTCCTTTTCTACTATCCACACTATCTGTCTGATCAACCTGGGGTTGCACTTCTTCTTGTGTCAACGTCCTATGAGAGTTGGTAGGAGAGATCACATCTCTCCAGTTTTAGCTTCTCTCCATTGGCTCCCTGTCAAGTCCAGAATTGAATTCAAAATCTTACTTCTAACCTACAAAGCTCTCAACAACTTAGCGCCATCTTATATTACAGACTTTATTGTTCCATATTTTCCTAACAGAGCACTTTGCTCTCAGACTGCAGGTTTACTTGTGGATCCTAAAGTTTCTAAAAGCAGAATGGGAGGAAGATCTTTCAGTTATCAGGCTCCTCTCTTGTGGAACCAACTTCCAATTTATTTCTGTTTGGCAGACACATTGTCCAGTTTTAAGACGGGACTTAAGACTTTCCTTTTTGATAAATCCTATAGTTGGGGTTGGCTGGGGTTTCCTGAGCTATCCCTTATCCTATGCTGCTATAGGCTTAGACTGCTGGAGGACAAATTGACATTTCCTCACTCTGCTGCTGTCTTTACTTGCTCTACTCTACCTGTTTGTATTTGGAATTTTTAATTATTATTTACTGTATATCCTTCACGATTTTTGTCTTTCCTCCTATAGAAAGTACACCTGGACCTGGTATTCTAGGTTTCTCTACTTCCTGTCCTCTCAAACCCAGCCGGTCTAAGAAGATGATCACTCACACTAAGCCTGGTTCTGCTAGAAGTTTCTTCCTGTTAAAGGGAGTTTTTCCTTTCCACTGTTGCCTTTGTGTTTGCTCAGGATGGGAGATTGTGATGAAATGAAGATTCAACAGAATCTGCTGCTTCCTCAGATAGAGAACTTTTACTAACTGGTTTTTTCAATGTATGTGAATGTTTTTGTACAGTGCACTGAGACGACTTCTGTTGTGACTTGATGCTAAATAAACTGAATTGAATTGAATTTTGGGAGGCTGGTTGCAGTCCCATGAATCTTATATTTTTTAAATAATAATAATGGCAGCTGTGGTAGCCATGTGAACTTTACCTCTAACATGAATATCTGTAATCTTCAGTCTGGAGCTCCTTGGACAGCTCTGGTCTTAGTTTTTTCTTCTCCATGTTCAGTGTGGTATATATCGCACCTCACTAACAGTCATATGTAATAACAACTGCTTGGTTTGATTTCCTTCACATGCATCACAAAACCATTTTAAACATCTTAGTAACCCATACATTTGCAAATGTATGTTTTGTACTTCTGTCAGCATTTTCGGGACATGCAACATGCATGACTGCTGTAAATAAAATACTGGTGTACGGTGTTCCAAACGGTTTGAGATAAATGTAATATTTAGCTGTGAAATAATGATAATCATTTATCAGGTTAAAACCTACTGGGTAACACATTACTGGGCATGACAAAGTCATGAGTAAAAATAGGCAGGGGTTTTCCAGTCTGTCAACAACTGTGGCTGAAAAGAGTTCAACAATTACAGAGCAATGTTGAAAAATATACGCAACTGCAAAGAGTTCAAAATGTTTGTCTTAATTATATCAGAATAATTTATGACAGAGGTAAAGTAAAAAAAAACCAGCATTGAATTATTCTGAACCTCAGTCCATTGCAACCACAAAAATGAATAAATAAATAATTAAATAACATGTGAACTTGATCCCTAAAAGTTTCTGCCTTTGCTGGAACATTTTTAGAAAAACATCACGTATGTGTGACAAATTAAATCTAAAAATTTTACACACACACATGCATACACATATATATAATGATGTTTGTTTGTTTGTTTGTTTTAGCTGACTACAGTTGGGCCAAGTCAGTTTTTGCCTTAACAAGTTTTGTCTCTTGACTTCTGCAGGAGCCTTTGTTTGCAGCCAGAGTCATCTACGACCTGCTCTTCTTCTTCATGGTCATCATTATCGTTCTCAATCTCATCTTTGGTGTCATCATCGATACTTTTGCTGACCTGAGAAGTGAAAAGCAGAAGAAAGAAGAAATCCTGAAGACAACATGCTTCATTTGTGGTAGTTAAATTAAAATTATTAAAAACTAAAAATGTGTCATTCTAGGTTCTTATAATACTCAAACACTTTGTTCTCTTTCTTTTGCATTTCTCACAGCCAAGCTGCACACAATAATTTTCAGCCTTACAGGAATGTGACTCACAATCTTCTTCACTGTCTTTAAGTGGTCATACTGTCTTGTAATTTTATTTTTTAAAGAAATACAGGTACAGTCAAAGTTGCAGTTGATACTTGACTTGTTTCATAAAGCCTTTGTCAAGCAGCACGGTGCAGTTGTTGAGAGTGGTCTGCCCTACGCCTGCTCTCATATAAGCATGAGACTGCTGTGCAACAGATTCTCATCAGGGCTGTTTGCAAAATGGGGCTGTTTTTCTGTGTAACAAAACACTACGCCTCCTCTTCCCAGAATGAATGGTTAGTCACGGAAGGTGCTGCTGTGGAGGAGGAGTGTTTCTTCCTGTTGCCATATGGGGCTTGACCACGTTAGACTGCACACACACTTATTGACATTTCATTTGAATAAAGTGGACAAACTTTCCGCTTTGTGCTGGACACCCATATTAGGGATTATTCTTCATTTATAAATCCAGTGCAAGCATCTCTGGGGATCACTTGGATTTAGTGGAACAACAAAAAAAAACTCACATTCTGAGCAACTCTCACCTCTTATGTTTGGTCTACCCATTTCCACATGACCCATTTCCTCTTATTTTTTCAACCATCTTCATTTAGGTCACAAGAACAGTTATGTCATGTTGCAGCAAAACCGCTTATTTCCTCATCCTTCCTAAGAAATAAGAATAATGTTTATTTGGGTGGTGTTCTTCCTTTCTCAGGTTTGGAAAGAGATAAGTTTGACAACAAGACAGTAACTTTTGAAGAGCACATCCAAGTTGAACACAACATGTGGCACTACCTATTCTTCATCGTCCTGGTGAAGGTGAAGGACTCCACAGAGTTCACAGGGCCCGAAAGCTATGTAGCTGAAATGATCAGGGTAAGGATGTTTTTGTGCATGAGCATTTGGCCCATTATCTGCCTGAGCTTTTCTACACACATTTTAGTTTACATTTACATCACCCTTTTATTGGTAAACTAGACTGGAAAAAAGATTAAATGCAACACTTTTGTTTATGCTTCCATTTTTCATGAGCTGAACTCAAAGATCTAAGACTCTTTCTATGTACACAAAAGGCCTTTTTCTCTATAATATTGTTCACAAATGTGTGAAAATCTGTGTTAGTGAGCACTTCTCCTTTGATGAAATAATTTTCAATTCAGTTTTATAATAATTCATAATGCATCCACCTCACAGGTGTGTCATATCAAGATGCTGGTTAGACAGCATGATTATTACACAGGTGTTTCTTAGGCTGACCACAATAAAAGGCCACTCATGCAGTTTTATCACACCGCACAATGACACAGATGTTACAAGTTTTCTCTACCATAAGCCGTCTCCAAAGGTGTTTCAGAGAATTTGGCACTACATCCAACCGGCCTCACAACTTCAGATCACATGTAATCACACAAGCCCAGGACATCCACATCCAGCTTCTTCACCTCCAAGATCATATGAGACCAGCCACCTGGACAGCTGCTGCAACAATCAGTTTGCATAACCAAAGAATCTCTGCACAAACTTTCAGAAACATCTCAGGGAAGCTCATCTACATGCTCGCTGTCCTCATCAGGGTCTCCAACTGACTGCAATTTGTTGTTGTAACCAACCTGAGTGGACAAATGCTCACACTGGATGACATATGGCATGTTGGAGAGGTGTTCTCTTCACGGATGAATCCCTGTTTTCACTGTACAGGGCAGATGGCAGACTGCATGTATGTCCTCATGAGGGTGATCGGTCAACATTGTGAATTGAGTGGCCCATGGTGAAGGTGAGGTTATGTTATGGACAACGAACACAGTTGCGTTTTATTGATGGCATTTTGAATGCACAGAGATGTCATGACGAGATTCCAAGGCCCATTGCTTTTCCATTCATCTGCGACCACCACCTCATGTTGCAGCAGGATAATGCACAGCCCCATGTTGCAAGGATCTGCGGATAATTCTTGGAAGCTGAAAACATCCCAGTTCTTGCATGGCCAGCATATTTACTGTACACGTCACCCGTTGAGCATGTTTGGGATGCCCTGGATCACTGTATACAACAGCATGTTCCCATTCCTGACAATGTCCAGGACCTTCACACAGCCATTAAGGAGGAGTGGACCAACATTCCACAGGCCATAGTCAACAACCTGGTCAACTTTATGCAAAGGTGTGTTGTCACACCAGATACGGACTGGTTTTCTGAACTCCCAGACCCTCACCACCTCCACCACCACCACCACCACCATGATACAGTAAAAGTAAACTGCACATTTTAGAGTGGCCTTTTATTGTGGTCAGCCTAAAGCCCTATTCATATGGGATTAGTTTTACCTAAGGACCACATGTAGTAAATTAATCCCCAACATCTGCTTTTTATGTGGGGCAGCTGTGGCTGAGTGGTTAGAACAGTCGTCCTCCAATGCAAGAGTTGGGGGTTCGAATCCACCAGCAGTCGCATGCCGAAGTGTCCCTGGGCAAGACACTGAACCACTCATTGTCTCCAATGTGTGTCCCACCGGTGTATGATTGTGATAAAGCACTGATTAGTCTCTTTAGAATGATTTGTTCAATTAGCTTTGTAGAGATCTAGTAGAGTGCTGTATGAATGGGTAAATGAGGACACAGGTTGTAGTGTAAAGCGCTTTGAGTGTCTTGAATAGATAGAAAGGTGCTGTATAAGTACAGTCCATTCACATTCGCACGGGATAACCAAAGCCTGAGATTTAGCTGAAATTTACGGACATCTTCCGAATATGATGTTAACGCGCTGCGTTGTCACGACCGGGCCGGTCCAAAATAATGTGCTTAGTGTGCGGGCCGGATCAGTGTCCGGCTTTGATGTGGTTTTACGAATCAGCACAAAGAAAACTAAATAAGAATGGACAATATAAAATTGTGTTAATCTGTTGTTGAGGAGGAGGCAGGTCCGACCAGCCACACACGTCCGCTGACCCGTCAGTTGAAATGGACTTGCGACCTGTCCAAGATGTGTCCCGCCTCTCGCACAGTGATGGCTGGACATGGGCACCAGCGAACCCCGCTACCCGAAAAGGAAGAAGCGGGTAAATATAATGGATTGATGGGTCAGCTGATCACCGGCTGCATGCGTGCGTCTCTGCACCTTCTGTCATTTGTGGTGAAGGAAGTAGAAACATCTAAAAAAGCCGAAGCGAGCAGCGCGTTCATTTAAAATAGCCTTGTTCTATTTTTCCCCAAATGATTTTGCTTAGAAAACTAAAACAAAAACCACCTAATTACATATTGGATTCCGCTCATTTCTGTGCAAGTCACAGAGATGCCTATTCACATTGGATTAGTATGATCACAGGACCTCGGAGTTCAGCAAAATATAGTAGATATTTTGCGGGGGAATTTTTACTTTACAAATGACTGACATGGCCGATTCACACGGGATTAACAACAGACGATCTCCGTAATTATTACAAATAGCATGTGGTCCCTAGGTAAAACTAATCTCGTGCAAATGGAGCTTAAGGCACACCTGTGTAATAATCATGTCATCTAATCAGCATCTAGATATGCTGCACCTGTGAGGTGGATGGATTATCTCAGCAAAAGAGAAGTCCTCACTAACACAGATTTACACAAATTTGTGAACATTTGAGAGAAAGTTCTATTGTGTACGTAGAAATAGATCTTTGAGTTCAGCTCGTGAAAAATGGGAGCAACAACATAAGTGTTGTTTATAGTTTTGTTCCGTATAAGGTAGGAGGAACTCCAATTAAAGCCTGGAGCATAAAGACTTACCATGTGTTCAAGAATTTTCTTTTTTATTTTAACACCCCCCACCCCCAAGTTTTACACAGCTGAAATTTGTATGTAATTGCATGCTTTTTTTTAAATGTTTTTATGTTTATTTTTTGTTATTACTCAAGTAAACAACTCTAGGAGAACTCACGAGTTTCGTTTTGTTGTTACATAGAAAGCGCAGGTTATTTAAAATTAAGGTGTTAAGACATAATTACTTTTTCTTCCTCATTTCAAACCAAATGTGCCCTCAAGATTTGATCTGCAGAAAACACAGTTCTAGCTTCTGTGTTGGTCTTTTCTGAAGTTAATCCTCTCAACTGAAGAACTCTGTTGGCCTTTTCTGACCCTAGCGTTCAAGTTTATACAAGTTTGGTTATACATAATTTATTGCACCACATTTTTTTCCTCCACTGGAGATGCACAGCACAGTTTTACACTCATTTTTGCCCCTGAGCTCAGAAACTGAGTTATAAAAACCCCACCTTTAAATGATCCATTAGTCAGCTTTGTAAGCACAAAATACTCAACTATTTTGAATTCTTATAGCTCAAATGAATCCTTCTCTATTAAATGCACACAGTTGTTCACTGGTTTACATCTACAAATCACCATATGATGGGCATCTGAAACATGGAAACATTTAGCTTGTGTGTTGGTTACAGTTTCTTCAGGCTCGTTTGTTTGTTACTGGTTGGGATTGTTGCATGAGAACCATTAGTAGACATTTGAACTGCCAAAGGAAAGCCCCGTTGTGTGAAGTGGTTTCTTTCTTGACGCACTTGTCAGTTTGTAAGAGTTTATTATTAGATTTAGCCCACTTTCTTCCCTTTTATTTTGCTTGTTGCAGTCTTGTGAGGAATCACCTGATTTAGAATAAACCCCCATCGCCTCTTCCTCATTAATTAACCTTACACCCCATGCAGCCAAACTGAATGTTGGTGCGCGTTTTGAAGAGAAGCTTTCAAGCTGAGCAGAGAAGACCTCGATGACCTGTCAGGTGATTTCAGTCATCTTCAGTGTTAACTCCCAGCTCCACATGCAACTGTTTGAAACAGTATGTCCTCATCTAGCCAAGTTTAGTCTGAGTGATTCAAAAACAACTAACGTTTTCAAAACTGGTTTTATGAAACATATTTGATATAATAATTGAGGAGGCTATGCTCTAGCATTTGCAACAGCTATGCTCTCTTTGAGTCTGTTCACTCGGTATAACAAATGAAGTATGGGATATTGCAACTTCTTGTATCCTAGCTGAGAACACCTCTAATTACATCTTTGGCAAATGATGTGCTGTTGACCGGTGACAGGCCTCACTTGCACAATATGCCCAAACATCACCGTTGTCATTTCTCAGTTCTTCACCTCACTGAACACCTCCTTGAGTCAGGCCAACTAGCTGCTGTTTGTTAGCTTTGTGTTGCAATGGCTGCTGCCTACTGATTAGCATTCTTGGTTGTAAAGCACTGATTTTGAGTACTCCTCTACTCTGAGTTTTTTTTTCTTTCTTTTTCTTAGCTGTCTAACAGAAGATTTCAATTTTTAATTTATACAGTATACAGGTACATGGATATGTGTGGATATGTAGCATGAGTTGTGGATCGGTGGTGGAATGGTCAGCCTCCTGTTTGTGCATTTCCAGCTCTGCCATATATGGAAGTTTATTTTGGAACAACACAAAAGCCCCAACTGTCTTATCTGTTTGGGATAGGAAATCAAATATGCTGCTTACATGTACTGCAAATAATTATATTGTTTGTTTGTTTGTTTAAATAGGTGAAAAAGAAACATTTTGTTGTGCTCAGATTAAAGATTTTAGAGCACAGATTGATACAATTACTATTGGAAGTTAAAGTTGGTCTTATGAAGTTTAGTAGCTGTGCTTTTATATTTGTACGAGTTCTTAATAAAGGTTATCGTTTTTATGCTGCTGTTTAGCTGACTTCTCATAGCATGTGCATGAGCGTTAACCCCCTTATGAGCATGTTTGGATAAAAGGATACCTAAAATTGGACAAAATTTGGCCTCAAAATTAGTTTAGGAAATGTCTGGATTTAGACCAGAACTTTGCCATAATTGTTGAAAACAACTCTGTGAATTGCCACCTTATTTTGG